TATATATATATATACACATTTTCCAAGCTTGTGGATCAAATTTAAATTTTTACTATGTTAAGCTTCTATCAAAATGTCTCTGGGGAAGGGGTATTAATAGTAATTCACCTTTACTATCTTGTTTTCAGATACCACAGTGGACCAGGAAGGGGACATCCTGCACAACAGCAGCAGCGTCAGGTTGATGTAGGTGAGGACTATGCTAGGCCTGCTATAATTAGTGCTGCCAATCTGAAAGAATTGGATCAATTAGAGAATGACACCGATGACAGTGGATGGGCTGGAGCCCATGGAGAAGTAGATTATACAGAGAAATTAGTTTTCAGTGATGATGAGGATTCTCAGCCACCAACACCGAGGAAAGATTTAGAAGTAATGTAAGTTTTCTTGTTGGAATTATATGAAAATTTTGCTCTATAAAAAACACATCAAAACGCATCAAAACAACACATGGGATTCAGCCAACGCAAAATAATATTTTTTTTTTATTTTTACCCTCAATGTGATGTAATGATGATCAATTTTGATGAAGTAAAGGTATCTCAATGTCATGTTGATCTGAAAATGTCTAGTTTGGCTACTAGTTTTGAGAACTGGTAGCCCTAGCACAAAAATCGGTAGTGCCTATGCCTTGGGCTACTGGTAATTTTGAGCTCCGCACTGTAGCTTCTTGCAACAAGAAATTTATATTCAGTGAAAAATAAGTTTGACACAATAAATGTGATTTGGAGTTGAGTTGTTGGATGCAAACTGGGTTTAATATGATTGCCAAATGATGTCTTTGAATGTCTTTAGCTATGGCTATGAAGACTTGCATCTTCCACCCATATTACTGATGGCTTTCCTTTGGAAAAAAAAAGTAGTACTATTGAATTATGCCAGGCAGTGTACTGATGATGCATTTGTCTGATTTCACAGTAGAGATGGAAAAGATAGCCGAGAAGATCTGGAGAAAGACAATGAACATGTAGAAGAAAGGAGGCGTACAACAAGTGGCTCACAGGTAAAGTTGGAAATGAAATATAAAACTGAAATTTGTTGTTCACAATCCAAACATGACAGATGGCTGACCATGTAGAATTTTTTTTGAATAAATCAAGCACTGGAGCAGTAGCAATCAACTGTAGGTACTTTTCTATTTATATCAGGATTCAGATTCTCAAAGATCCAGTACTCCAAGGGATGCTTGGACCGAACAACAAGGTCAACGAGGAGCTGCTATAAATAGGGGACCACCAACTGATCGGCCTGGATTTGATGCCCAGGTGAGTTTGCTACCAATGTATGCAGTTTGGGGTGCATGTGTTGTCTGCTCATGTATGTGTATAATAGGGTTTGTTTAATAACGTATGCTGAATGCTTGGCTTAACATCTCAAACAAGTGGCTGCTGCAGGTTATCCAACTTCCAAATTTCCACCCACCAAAACTTCTCCTCCCACCTTCCTTTTCATTTTATTTTGTGCGTCGACCTACCTTCCTTTGTGCCAAGTTTGGACTTCCATTGACGTCTCTCTATGTTGTGTCCGGACAGAGATGGAATAGAATGCAGCAGCCACCCTTTGATCAAAGAGGCCCACCTCCAGGGCATTATCAACATCCACTGCCACTTCCACAGTATCATAGGCCTCCTCCACCACAGGTAGGTTCTAACCTAATTCACATTACTTCATATCTGCATGAACTAACTGTTAACTGCATGATAGTTGGTGTTGTGTAATTGTTTGCATGATTCTGTTGTGATTTTATTCACCTAATGCTTGGCTCTACTCAGTTTTTGCAGCTTAACTAACATTAAATGCAGTGTTCTTAAGGAATGAAGTGGACACACTTTCTACGATGGCATATTGCAAACCGTACGTGACAGTGTTTCCCCTACAGACTTTTACACTCAAGTTTTTTATGTTTTTATTATCACAATTCCTGTATGTTGCAGGAACACTTCTTGTTTGACATGTGACATGTTCTGCATGCATGTATATAGCTGTTTAGATGAATTACCTTAGTGTTTTTTAATTGGAAGATTACAATTTCCCATTGCCAAATATGACAGTTAGTTTCACAGGATTCTTGCGAAAACATTTCTCTGCTGAACACAATAACAGGCTTCAGGCCGTAACTCCAATGTTTTCTCAGTTTGTTTGCCTTGCCTGAAATGAAATGAAAGGGAATGTTAGCTTGTCTGTCTAGTGTCAATTTCTTGTCAGAAACAAGTATTTTTCTTTAATTTTCCCAAATTGGTATATATTTTCGAAACACGAATTGATATATATTCTTGTCAGTGTTGGGACATGTATTTGGCAATTTGGGTTAAAATGGTTTCATGTTGATTATGTTACTGGTTGAATGTTTACAGCAAATATGTTTCCAATTCAGTGTAAAATGTAGCTTGATCCTCGCAAATTAAAAGGATTAGTTTTTGTACATTTTCAGTTACCTCAATGCATTTGTACCTACGGTAACTAAGAATAAAATGCTGTCTGGTCACTATCAAATACATGTCAAGGTCTCTGTCTGAATGGTACAGATTATCACAGAAAATTCCTTCAATACTATGCATTGGTTCAGACCACATTTCCTGAGAAAAACTTATCATACAGGGATTGCGTTAACCCCATATTTTGCTTTCCGGACTCCAATTATCAGGCAAGCTGTGGTCCAGCCACAATATCCAGTTACCCAGGGTCAAATTTCAATTTCGTAAAATTTCTTAAACTGGGACTCGTCTTGTCGAGACATTAAGGCAAACTCTGGTCATACCAGGAGTACACCTGGTGTTCAGGATTTGATCTAACGGGCATATTCAATTGTAATTTCACCACACCTTTAGCATTATGAGTCAATTCCATTGAAAATTGTTGAATCATTGGACCGTATTTTGTACATCCAAATTATTTTTGTTTTTGCATTGGTTTCTATGGTAGAATGTAGTTTATCTCTGCACTGTTGGTTGCTACGCTGCAATTTTCTTATCCTTACTTGCTGCATGATCAGAACCCATGGCATTTTTGCATGGCCATTTTTTTTGCCTATTGTTTACAAATATTCTGTGTGTTCATGTTATTTGATGATAAAGTGTTTCACTCGTGTGGAGTCATGCAAGTATAAGAAGATGCTTATCATACAGTGTTGTTCTTATAAGCATTACCAGTGTGGCACAGGCGCATGGAACTGCAGTTTTGCAAGATGGCTGTCAAATTTGCTACTCAAACAGCAAAATGGCTACCTGACAGAGAATGATTACATGTTGTTGGTCACTCAACAGCAACCTGGGTTTGTTTTAAACATATTTTGTATCGCTTTTTGATAGAAAAAGAAAAAGAAAGAAAAATGCCCTTAAATTTTTGCCAGACTTCCCCCACTCAAGAACGATGAAATGTTTTCAGGAGTGCAAAGACCAATTTATTTACAACTGAAAGCCTGCCCAGAACTACTGAACATCTTTTGAATTCTAGGTTTCGCCAACCCGCCAGCTCCTTGTGCCAGTGGACTTGTTCATTTCCACAGGGAGCACAGGTTTATGAAACTCCTAATTTGTTTTCTAATTGCAACTTGCCATATACTGTAGAATACTTTATTTTCGCTTGGAATTTACTTTCTCTGAAGGGATGATTCCGTGAAAATGAAATCCAGCAAATATACTTTTTTTCCTATATTTCACATTAAACTCATCAAAAATCAGTGAAAATAAATTCCATAGTAAATCCTTTTCATTTTAAATAGTTTATGTGACTTACCATATTGATTGCATACATTTATACGTCATAAATGTGCATTTAGTATATTTATTAATATCCCTCCCCCTATACAGTTCAAATCGCGTGCACACCTAAACTGTTAGTTTCAAGCGTACGTACTAAGGTAGTTGCCTAAATAGGTAGCAAATTTGATGTACATCTTGCAAAACTGTAGTTCCATGCGCACATGCCCCACCAGTAATAGAGTAGCGGCCGCTACTCTGTAATTTTTTGGATAAACAATAGTGTAATCATCTTAAAAATGATTCGCATATTATTTTGTTATGCTATGATGGTTGTTCCTTGGGTGAGCACTGGTAACCCAGGACTTGATTTTCATGTGATCCAAAAGTCTTTAATTTTGTAAATCAAACTTCATTTGTTTTGATATTGTAGCAGGGAGCTTTTCCACATCAAAGGTTACCGAACACTCCAGAAATTGATGAGGATGAATCATGGAGGCAGCGAAGGCAAAAGCAACATGATGAAATGTCATCAGCAATTGAGAGGGCACGGCAAAGAAAAATTGAAGAGGAGCGCAGATTGGAAGAAGAACGCAAACAAGCTGCTGCTGAGAAGCTAAGGAGACTTGAAGAAAGGTTATCTGGCTCAGAAAAAGGGGATGGAGAAAAAGATGATATTGATCCGATGGATTTCCCTAAAGAACTTCCCAAAAGGCAAAGAACAGAGAGTGGTAGCAGTGACGGTTCAAGGCATGCCAGAGAAGGCAAAGGTCAGAATATCTCTTGCCTGTCCAGGGCTTGCATTATCAAGACGCCCAAAAGTTCATGGGCCAAATTTCAAATGCCTTTATCATCAAGGCACTCTGGTGATCTGCATAACTTTTCTTTTTTCTCTCTCAGTCTCTGAGATTTACTTGGCGTGGGGAACTAGTTTTCTGTTTGTTTGTTTTCATCTCCTTAACAAGTTCATTGCCATGTATGCTTATTTAAATATTCATCATTTCAGGATCGCATGATGGTTATCAACGAGGGCAACCTGGTTTTCAAAGATCAATGCAAAAAAATCTTCCCCCACGCTTTCAAAAACAACAAGAGCAAATAAGGCAACAACAAATGCAGGTAGGTCATGTGAATTTGATACAAAAATGATAATTTTAAATCAGCACAGTGAATTGAGATTCAGTGCTGCCTGATGCTTACCGACCTGCTACCTGAATATTTTATATTTGCCTGATGAAATAACAGATGCTGTACTATGTTTCTTTTGCTTTGGTATAGTGATTGCAATCCAGTTTCGGACCATCAACAGTCTAGTTATTATTGTTATTCTTTTCACAGCAGCAGCAACGCCAGTCACAGCCACCTCAACAACAACAACAACAACAACAGCAGCCGCCACAGCCACCTCCACAACAACCACAGCATCCACTTCCTCCATCAGGGCCAATGAGTATGGGGTTTGATCCAAGGGATCCACGAGCACAAGCATGGGTGAATATGCATGGAATGCCACCACCACCTCCGTTCATGCAAGATCCAAGAGCAATGGGAATGCAGCCCTCCGCACAAGGTAATGCAAGCTTTGTTTTCACAATTCATTTGTCAATTGGGATTCAGTCTTGGTAATGACAACAAAGCGTTGAATAATTTCACTGATACTCGTTTTAGATTGAAATGTTTTACTTCCCATTACATCCATAAACAGGTTTTGTTCAAATATCATACAAGGCAACACGATGGGTTCACACATGTGCACATCAATTTGTTTCACCTAGGTTTTGTATACTAAAATTTGAAATATGTAACATGTTATTCAGAGACTCCGACCATCTATATACATTTCCAAGCTTGAGTTTGTAATTTGTATTGCTTATTTCTTTTCTCTATTTAAGGTATGCCAATGCCGCCTGATAAAAGAATGATGCAGCGTGTACGTGCAGATAGTACAGGATCCGGCTCAGATAGTCACGACAGTGGACGTCATACGCCTGATTCCCATGATAGAAGGTGGGGTACACCATCCTATCCACAACATCTGCCAATGATGCCATTCGATGGTGACATGCGTAGATATCCACCTCCTTATGGAAGGCCGCAATATGATCCTCGCCAAGATTTTGATGGACGGCAGCCACCACGGGAAGATTCCAAGCATCAAGAAAGTGAAGACGGGTTAAATGAAAATGACCAGAAAGATGGTGATGGTTCATTAAATGATCGTCAACGTGAGCGTGACAGAGAGCATCGTCCTCAGAGGGAGGAACATTATCCAGGGCCACGGGTTCAACATGATCCCTTTGATGATAATGTTCATGATCAACCAAGACCTTTACCATTCTCAAGGACGCCAGAATGGGCTGGTCCTCCACCACCTCATCCATTTCCACATCCAGCAATGTACAGAGCACCATTTCCAACACATCCTCAGGATCCATATTTTTGGCAACATATAGCTTCTCACCATGGTGTACCACCACAAAAAGTCAGGACAGTTGAATCAGGCCAACATGTGGCAGCAAATGCAGATGAAGAACGAGACAAACAAGATGTTCATGAGAATGAAAACCATATTGATCACAAAGAAGTTGAAAGGAAGGAGCCTGGTAAAGAAAAAGAAGTGAAGGAGGAACCGATTAAAACTGATCAGAGGCAAGAAATTAAAAAAGAAGAAAGGAAAAAGGATTCCAAAACCGAAGAGCACAAAATTGAAAAAACTGAGAGTCTTGGCAAAGCAGAAGAGACTGAAAAGATAGATAAAACAAAAGAAAAGCCAGAACCTAAAGAGAGGAGAAAAGAAGAATTCAAGCAAGATTCACGAGACAGAAAGTTCAGTAAAGAATACGAGAAAAAAGACAGCAAAGACAGAGATTCAAAAACAGTTAATCGTAGAGACGGTCACAGAGATGGCCAGAGAGATGGTCACAGAGATGGCCAGAGGGACGGTCACAGAGATGGCCAGAGGGACGGTCACAGAGATGGCCAGAGGGACGGTCACAGAGATGGCCAGAGGGACAGTCACAGAGATGGCCAGAGGGACAGTCACAGGGATGGCCAGAGGGACAGTCACAGGGATGGCCAGAGGGACAGTCACAGGGATGGCCAGAGGGACGGTCACAGGGATGGCCATAGGGACGGTCACAGGGATGGCCATAGGGACAGTCACAGGGACAGAGATGGATATAGAGACAGAGTTGACAAGCCTTCAAGAAAAGAATGGAAAAAAGACAGCACTCCTCGTTCTGATCGATTTAGAGTAACATCTTCTCGTGGGAGAGGAGGGGTGCGTGGTCGTGGTGTTGAGTTTGGTTACAGGGGAGCTCCTGGTAGAGGATACAGTAGCAGGAGTAGTAGAGGCAGGGAAAAAGATTTTAGAAGGGGGTCTGGTAGAGATGTTCGAAGTACAAGAGTTGAGAGAGATCATCGGAAAGGAAATGATAGTGGAGGAGAGGCTTCTGAATGTGAAGAAAGTCCCCAAAGGAGAAGACAGCATGGCGAGGAGAGTGAATCAGGTGAAGAGGAAGTGAGCCAAACTGCGAGTGAATCATCTCATGAAAAGGATGAAAAATCAAAAGACAAGGAGGAGAGTGCTGTAGAAGGGGATGAAATAAAAGACAAAACCAAGGAGAATAAACTTGAGAAAGAGTTGAAAAATGAGAAGAAAGTTGAAGCAAGGAATAAAGTTGAACATGATCATGGATCTCACTATAATGGAGGTTTCCGGCCTAGAGGAGAACCCTCAAGACGAGGCAGAGGAGCAGGGGGTGGTCCAGCAAGAGGCGGGCGAGGTCATTTAGGGGGAAGGGGGTCAGGCCCAAAAAACTTTAGAACAGGAAGAAATGAAACGGATGTAGGAAGGCAAAGAAATAACAAGGATTCACCAAAGAAATATGACTATGATATAAAGGATGAAGAGAAATATAATAAGTCTAATAGGGACAAGAGGCCTGACAGAAGAGAGCCGCCAAGGTTTATTCGTCACGAGCGTCCTCCACGTTTTCAAAAGAAACCAGAAACTCGGATGACCAGAAGTGGCACAGCTTGGGTAAACAGATCTGAAGGAATGCGTGGACGCAGCAGGGGGAGGGGTATGCCATCAGGATTAACATCACCAAAAAGCAATAATCCTCCAGTTCTAACAAGTCAGAATTCATCAGACCAAGCCAACGAGGAATGGGAAACGGCGTCAGAAAGCAGTGACTTCAGTGACCGCAAAGAAAAGAAGAAAGATAACTTTGTAAATAAAGATGAGAGAGAAAATAGGGAGGATAATGGTTTTCAGCCAAAAAAGGACTCGGCACCGACTCGGAGTTTCTCTCATCAGAGACCAGCCAATGACAGGTCATCAAAAAGATCTGCAAGTTCTTCAGGTTAGTTACTAAGTTTTAGTCTCTGAAAAATATTGTGTAGCCACATGTAAGATATACTACAGTATAACGAAATTGATAATTTGTCACACAGCAAATATTGTGTAGCCACATGTAAGATATACTACAGTATAACGAAATTGATAATTTGTCACACAGCAAATATGTAAACACTTAATTTAAATTGTGAGCATTTTTTTTAAGCTCCGCTGTCGACTTTGTCGAGCGGAGCTTATCATATGAGTGATTGTCTGTCGTTTGTGTCAATGTTTTACTTGTTGGACTTCTTCTTGAAAACTATAAGCCTGAATGCTTTGATACTTGGTGTATATGTACCTTGGGTAGACCTCTTAGATTTGTTCATTTCATGATGATATCTTCAATTCTCTAATTTTGATGAATATTTTAGCAATTTTTGGTAAAAAGTGATATTTTCGACTTCTTGTTAAAAACCACAAGTCCGATTGCTTTTATATTACATATATAGGTACTACATGTGGACCTCTTTCAGATTGTTAATTTCATGGTGATATCTTCAATTATCTAATTTTAATGATTATTTTTGTCATTTTTGGTGAAAAGTGATATTTTTGAATTCTTGTTAAAAACAGGTCTACATATTTTCTAATGATAACAGCGGAGCTATCTCAGCCGAGAGGCTGCTTGTTTATGTGCCTGGCAACCATTCAAATTGACTGACTTTGCAAATGCCAGTGCTGGCACAGTGCATTTTTGCAACAGAATCATCTTCATTGGTAGGGACTACATAACAGGGCTGTGCGGCTAGATCTATATCAAATATCAATTTAATCCGCTATCTGTTAACCAGGGTCAGTCGAACAAAAGCACCTGCACATATTAACTAAGGTTCCCCCAAAGTCACATTCATTAGTGATTAAATCTCAGCCAGTGGAATTGGGATTTAAACTTGGGTCTACCGATCACAAATCACAACCACTCTGCTTTAGCTATGTTTGTTGCATAGTTTAGCCTATTGGGAAATCTCAAAAATTGCTTGTCTTGCTTGTTAAAGCCTGTGAAGGTAACGGTATTAGTCAACAAGTCTTTGGAACGTTTTGGAACTCGCTAGAGTGAGTCTATTCCTAAATCTCTAGTGCTGATATAAAGTTGTGATCTTTCAGAAAGAAGACCTGGTAGAGATGGTGGCAGAAATTCATTGTCTAGGGATGGAACCAGCAATAATAAACCAAGATCAACTGATAGAAAGTTCTCTTCAGGTTCTGGTAGAAAAACTAATAGTTCATACAGATCACAACGTAATAATGAAAACAGTGGTGAGATGTTGGATACTTACAACAGAGTGGAGAGTGCATACAGGGTGGATGAAATAATACCAACTGATCCTATTGCCATACAGGCAAGTAATATCTATTTTTGTATGCATTTCCTTTCCTGGCAGTTTCTTTACCTTGTTTAATTTTAGATGAAGGTCGTATATTAAAGCACAAGAACAGAGGAGGCTGTGATATTCTAAATAGCTCGTTTAATTCAATTCTTATTTTACACAGGATGCTTTGTCAGATTTATCGAACAGAACCAAGGCAAAGAAAAAAGAAAGTGAAGCTAGTACTGCCAAAAAT